ATCAGTATTAGTTGATAGTAAACGGAGAAAAAGATTCTTCTTCAAGGACGCCTTTAAATTTCTATTAGCATATATTTTAAAAAACAAACTATTCTAGAGATAGAAAAGAATACGTTCGCTTGTTGAGAAACATAGGGCAATAAATAGTGCTTGTGGTGTTGACAACACAGGAACACAGGATCACAAAATTATTCTTAAAAACGCTATGGGTGCCCCATAAGGCCCCCGACACTCGGTCGCCACCCCACCCCGCCCCTCTCTTCTTCACCGCCTCCATCAAGAAGAGGTCAGGGTTTTTCCCAAGGAAATGGCCTGAGAAGTCCAAATCATTGACGCGCAGGGTAGGGAGAGAGAGAGAGAGAGGGGGAGGACTTAGGATGAGTATAAAAAGATCTCTTGTAGCCAGGTTTAACGCATTTCGCTGACGGGAAACGACTGCAACGACTAATAGTGGGTCTACGAAGTTTGCAAAGTGGTGTTTCATATTTGAGAATTTAGCCCGGGACCATGTCTAACTGGCGGTTCTTCGTTGTCGCTGTGATCAGCATGTACTTCCTGACAATGAGTTGTCATGCCTGTAAAAAAAAGAAGAAAGAATTTGAAACAAAGTTGTGCAAGTACAAAACGCAAGTGATCACTGGCTTTCCGAGCAAAATATCTGAACACTCTCTGAAAAATCCTTTGTGTTCTTCAGTCTTCTCGTCAGTCTTCGAAACTGAGAGCACGGTGGCTAACTGGTGGTTGGTGCTTGATAAGAAAGAAAGGTGGGCATATTGTCCACAGGGTCATTTTCTACAAGGATTCAAGTTCACAAAACGTGAGAAAGGCATATACGCGTTGGAAGAGGGACGGTGTACCAAATCAAATAAGCTAAAAAACGCATGGGGCCACTGTTATCAAGAGTACACATCTCGCTCCACCCGATGCCGTGACAACTACTACCTTGCAGGCATCTACCGAGGCGACTGCTCCAGCTGGAGCTGTGTAACCAAACTGAAATGCTGTAAAATGACAACAGACTTTACGGTGGATTCTGCTGAAACTGCAAAGGAGAAAGTTATGACGCGGTCTCTCCTCGCGATGGCTCAGTTAGCCTCGTATCTAGGCTATGCTAGACCTCATGGATGCTATGGAGTACAGCCTGGGGACAATTTCGAGAAAAAAGGGAACTCCTGGGAGGCAAAGAAGTGTAGTGGTCGAGACGATCGCCGTTTGAAGATTTCTTATAAGGACTGGACATTCAGCATTGCGAACATGAAGTATTCACAAACGGAGACAACAGAACTTGTGCCAAAGACAATAGACAATGGTGTTTTGGTCAATAACCACCCCACTCCAGCTGTCGAGATAATAACTAGAAATGACAGAAGTATTCGAACAGTGAAACACAGATTAACAAGTCATTGGAAGGTGTCTGTTGAGGTTGGGGTAAAGGTGACATACACACCTCCATCATTGACAGGAGGGGTGGGGGGTGAATTTAGCTTCAGCGTAAATGCAGAGGGTGGGGAAGAAACCATGGACGAAACTGGGAATACCCAGGAAGCGTCGCTTGAGATAAGAAGAGAGAAAGAACTTGATCCCTATACATCTATGGAATGGGTGGCAAGAATGTACCAAAGCCGCACGACGCAGTATTACAAGGCAACCCTTCGCGTGGAGTGCTCAGCTGAGTTGGACGGAGATCTCAAAAAGGACAACTATCACACAAGATACGGCGGGAAAAACAAAAACTACTTCTCGTACACTTTCGGCGATGCAGACACGCCATTTTACGAAGCTGTCAAAGAGGAGAAAGACCAGTGGTCTTATCCCTGGAGGTGGGGCGATCTTGCTGGTCGAGAGTCGAATCTGAAGAATGTTGTAGGATATTTGGCGGATCAGAAGAGTTACGAGTTTGTTATTGAAGGCAAGTTTGACGACATTCAGGGTTATAAAGTTGAAATGGAATTTGGCAATCACACAGAACTACCCCGTCCGGATCAGTTCAGCAATGACCGTTTATCCTTGCCTTTGTTGAGTTTCCGACGGCCTGTGGGGAAAGGAGAAAGCAAGGTCGTTGTAGCGAACGAGGGACCCGATGACCCCCTGTCCGGTTTTCAACCCATTTTTAATTAAGCGGTACATGATCACTGAGAATGAATCAATACTCTAATCTCTCCTGTACTCCCTTCACTGAATGGACGTCCTTTGTCGGGATTATAGTGATCAAGTCCACAGAATAAAGGCATTGTTAAAATGAATCGTTGGTTAAGGAAATTGCACTTTTTTCGTTTAAAAATGAATTGTATCTACATTGTATTTTAAACCGTACTTGTAAATTATCAGTTGTATGTAAAGTGTTATTCTGAACATATGGACGATACATTTGAAGACTACAGGGGATACAAAACGGTAGTCACAAACTGAAAATCGTGAGGGTACCAATTTTGAAAACTTTTTGACTCATAACCGTATTTCTGTTCAACAGTTGATTGATTATTGTTGTTAGATTTGCCATTCAGCAACACTTAATAATTAACCACCAGTCAAACAAATATGAAGTTATGAGTCCACAGGCTTTTCAAATTGGCACCCTCACAATTTCCAGTTTGTGACTACCTTCGTTTTCCTCCTGTGCTCTTCATTTTAATCAATCAAGCATCACCAATCGGTCTGTCTGTCTGTATGTCTGTCTGTGTGTCTATCTGAGTATCTGTCTCTGTGTGTGTGTCTTTCTGTCTGTCTATCTGTTTGCTTGTCTGTCTGTCTTTCTGTCTGTGTGTCTGTTTGTCTATCTGTTTGTTCGTCTGACTCTCCCTCTTCCTCAAACACACTCAGATAAAAACGCACAAATACGAGCACAAACATGGGCGCATAGACACACACACACACACACACACACACACACATACACACACACACAAACACACACACACACACACACACACAT